CATCAGAAACCCAAACGCTCCTGCTGTCCCAAAGCCTCCATGGCAGTGAGGTTATCCAGTGACCCTGCCTTTCCCCAGCCTTTGCGATGGCCCTCAGCATCGCTCTGCCTCTCTGCACTTCTCAGAGCAAAGGTGATGCTCTCTCCTCGTGCATACAATGGCAAGGCAAGGATGCAGGCACACCCAGCAGCACCACGTGTGTGGTCTGTCACCAGATGTTGAAACTTCTTAATTTACTCTGTCAAAGCCACTTGAGTGGATAATCACAGAGTCCCAGAATTGCCTTGACTGCAAAAGACCTTTAAGATCATCAAGTCCCATCATTAACCTCACAAGTCCCAAACTACACCCAGTCCTGTAGCACTATGTCTACACGACTCTTCAATCCCTCCAGGGATGGGGACTCCACCACTGCCCTGGGAAACCCCTTCCAATGCCTCAGAGCCCTTTCAGCAAAGAAATTCTTCCTCACATCCCATCTCAACTGCCCTTGGTACAACTGGAGACCATTTCCTCTTGTCCTGTCACTTGTTCCTTGGTTGAACAGACCCACCCCCACCTCTCTCCACCCTCCTTTCAGGGAGTTGGACAGAGCCAGAAGGTCTCCCCTCAGCCTCCTTTTCTCCAGGCTCAACAACCCCAGTTCCCTCAGCCGGGAACTCAGCACACTTGTGCTCCAGACCCTATTGCCCTTCTCTGGACACGCTCCAGCACCTCCATGTCCTTCTTGGAGTGAGGGGCCCAAAACTGAACCCAGCACTCGAGGTGCAGGTACGCCACAAGAAATGACCACTGAAAATGCTGCAAGCTAAGCTATACGGTTGTTAGGTCTGAATTAAGAAACTCACATGCTGTTTTCAACAGCACCGCTGGGCAGCAGGAGACAATAGTTCTGTTGGCTAATAATTCTCATTTCACCCATCCACCCTGGCTTGGGCTTGGAGGTCCAGCCCTGGAGACTATTTTCAGCCATGTGAATTGTTGCTCCAGAAAACATCAGAAGGAAATTAATGCACAAGGCTCAGCAGTACAAAGGAACACAAGCTCAAGAGAGTGTGACACAGAGAAAGGCACAGCCGAGGCTCTGGCCATCTCCCCGTCCCCACCACAGCTTGCCCAGAGTGAAAGCAGGAGATGTCCTCCTCGGGGAGGCTGAGGAAGAGACAGAGCAGGCAAACTAGGTAAGAAAATTACCTTTTCCCCGTCGGAGGCAGGTCCCAGCGACAGACCTTGGAGCTTGTGTCCACTTTGCTGAAATTTAAAGTTGGCCCCAGGGTGTGTGGAGCCAATCAGCTCCTGCCCAGGGACATTTGTCAGGGCTGACAGCACCCGCAGATAACCAGGGGGAGTAATTTCCAGCTAAAAATGTGTTTGTGGTGGAAGACAGCTATCAAATGTTCCACCTGGCTGGATAAACAGAAAGCATGGTTTATAAATATCTGTTCTGAAGGCGAAATTGCTCGATGATTAGCGCAGATCTTAGCGTGGCACCCATCCAGCCCGGTTATTGATAAGAGGGGGGTGCAGTGGGACATCGTGTGCTCACCATGACTGACATGGGAAAGCCACAGAAAGGGATGGGCGATACACTGAGCCCACCCATGACCAGCACTGTGGGCCAGCACTGGCCATGCTGAGAGCCACCACCACGTTGTAGCTTGGGACACTTGCTTTTTGGGTTTCCACCTCAACCCCTGTGAGTTAAGCCCGGTGCAAATGCAAAATAGAAGAGTGGTAAAAAAGAGAAATTAAAAAAAAACCCAAACAACTATTTTTTTCATGCACTGCTTGCACAGGTCCCTCCAAACCCACCTTTGCTGTGGGAAGGTGCTACGAGGATGTGCGTGACGTACGTACTCTCCTCTCATCCCCCTCTAGCTTTGATGGTTTTGCTGGTCACGTACGTGTATGCCAAGGGGGGTTCCCTTTGCTGCAGCCAGCCTGGCTCAGCCACTCACTGCGGTGACAGTGACAGCAGCTCCCATCCCACCAGCCACCCAGCCTGGACCCCAATGCTGGGAGTGAGCACAACTGCTGCACTAACACCAGAAATGCTTAAAACCATCAGCATCCAGCCTCAGGTGGGAGCAAACCTCAGAGCCAGGAGGAAATTTGCCCTTTCCCTTGGCCAGGGAGCTGCAGCTGGATGCCACCCCTTGGCTAACGGAGCAGCCAGCCGGTGTGCCTTGGCTTGGGACAGCAGAGCTTTGGCCAGGTGCCCGGGGGGGCTGACGCACACGGGGCCGGGCATCTCATGGGAGCAGGATCCAGTCCCTGGCAGTGCCAAGGCCCTTTGTCCATGCTGGTTCCCTGACGTCTTTGTTGACCCCCTGGGGATGTGGATGCTGAGGTTCTCATGTCCTGCCCCACCAGCTGTGAGTGTGTGCAGGGCTCCCCAGTGCCACCGGAGGGATTTGTCCCCGAGGGTGCCCACCCTGCAGCAGCACCCACTACCTACCCTGGCAACTGCAGCCCGGCTTCAGCAGACAGAAGCTGTTTTGTACAGCGGCTGCTGTTAGAATAGAAACTCCTTTTGCAGTTGGACCTGTAGCAGGAGCTGAAGATAGGTTTCCTTTCCAGGAGCATGAGGACAGCGTGGTACCTGCCATAACCTGTGTGTGAGGGTTATCACTTTTCCTAAATGGGGGCACCTGCCTGGAACCCAGTGGGATCTGAATCATAGACCTTTAAGATCATCGAGTCCAACCGTACCTGTCCACTACTAAACCATATCTCTGAGCACCCCATCTACCTGACTTTTAAATACCTCCAGATATGGTGACTCAACCACCCCCCTGGGCAGCCCATTCCAGTGCCTGAGAACCCTTTCAGCAAAGAAACTCTTCCTCACATCCAATCTGAACCTCCCTTGGTGGAACTTGAGGCCATTTCCTCTTGTTCTATCACTAGTTACTTGGGAGAAAAGACACATCCCCACCTTGCTACACCCTCCTTTCAGGAAGCTGTAGAGAGCGAGAAGGTCTCCCCTCAGCCTCCTTTTCTCCAGGCTCAACAACCCCAGTTCCCTCAGCTGGGAACTCATCACACTTGTGCTCCAGACCCTTCCCCAGCTCCGTTGCCCTTCTCTGGACACGCTCCAGCACTTCCATGTCCTTCTTGGAGTGAGGTCCTTCCCCATCCCTTGTGCTGATCCCCCAGTTGTCCAGGGCCACACTTCCCATGGGGAGGTGACTCAGGGCAATGATCCTGGGGACCACAAGCTGGTCATCCTCATCCCTGATGCAGGAGGTGAGTGGACATGCCACTGTCACTGTGACAGCCCTACCTTACCCTGGGGACAGGGCTGTGTGGCAGGGAGAGACAGGGACCATTTTGGGCTGCAGCTCCTGTGTCTGAAACACATCTGAGGTACCTGGCCTTGGTGGGACCCACAAGGGATGCAGAAGCAAAGCTCTCCTTACAGGAGTGTGCATCTACAGCTAGTGATACACAGAAAGAGAAATTAATGTCTTGGGAGCCACGCTACTGAGGAGCAGAAGACATGGTAAAGTCATGGTCACCCACCTATCCCAAATTCACTTGAACTCTACATAAGATGTGGCAATAATCCCTCCTCACTGACCTTAAAAACACCCTTCCATTTTTCAGAGGGGGCTTTACAGAAGCTCTCCCCGTTGGCTTTCCTGTTCCTCCCTCCTTTTGTGCTGAAAGCAGATTGAGCGCTGAGCAGCAGGAGCACCTGTAGCCCTTCAACCCACCGAGCACCGCGCTGCCCTGCCAACCCCGGCAAATTCGGCGGCAAACCCTTGGTCACCAACGAGCTCAGTTCAGTTGCTTTATTTCATTTCGCTTTGCCAGATACCAAAATTAAAATAAGAATTAAAAAAAAAAAGCCTGGGAGGGAGCTGGTGCGCGCTGCGAGCCGCCCGGCATCCCCTCCCACACGCGGCGGCCGCAGCCAGCCTTACATCCACGGTCCTGAGTGGGATGGGGCAGGTGCTTACTGGCTGTAGTAGTAATCCTGGCCGTACACGTCGTAGCCGTGCCCCTTGTAGTAGCCGTACTCATCCTCGTAGGCCCGGTAGCTGTCCCCACGGGCGTATTCTTCCTGCTCCCCGTAGCTGTCAGCAGTGGTGCCTTCATCCCCCCGGCCATGGTCCCCTGCCGTCACCTCGTACTCCCACTGCTCCCCAGCTGTGGTGGCATCTGTGAGTCCCCCATCTCCCATGGTGGTTGCTTGGGACAGCCCATCTTCACTGGTGGTGCTGATGATGGTGGTGACTTCAGTTTCCTCCTCCTCTTCCTCTTCTTCTTCCTCCTCCTCCTCTTCTTCTTCTTCCTCCTCCTCTTCCTCAGCCACACCAGCGTGCTCCTCTGCCACCGCAGTGCCATTGCCATGAGGTCCATCTGTCCCCTCAGTGGTGTTGGTGCTTGTGCCGTTGATGCCATTCTCATTCTCAGCTACTTCTTCTTCCTCCTCCTCCTCTTCCTCCTCCTCATTCTCATCACTGTCTTCATTTTCAGAGTCGCTCCCCTTGCCAGCAGCGCTGTTCCTGCCCCCTTTCAGGGGCTCTTGGCAGCCCTTGCCCTGGTAGAGGTAAAATACCACAGCTGGGTGTGAGGAGGTCGCAGCTTTTTGGTGCCATGTGGCATGGGGCAGGCATGGGCACAGCTGAGCATCCCACCCCACACCTTGCATGGCAAGGCTACGTTTTTGGGATGTCCCTTCTGACCCTCCCACCGGGTTAATGCTCAGAGCTTGGCCCAGCTGTGGGCACCTTGCACAAGCAGAAATGGGGTGCAGGGCATCCCGTGGGTGCGAGCAAGCATGCAGTGAACCTCCTCCTCCCCAGGAGTGCTCCCCTCCAGCCCCTCCAAACCAAACCTGCTGGGGGGATGCGACATCTCCCAGCCTGTCCTGGCTGTCCCCAGGGGCTGCTCCGGCAGGGTGGCCAGCTGCCTCAGTGCCAGCATGGGATGGCTTCTGCAAGGACAGGGGAGAGGACAGGGTGGGTGGTCAGAAGCAGGAGTGGAGCACACAGCTCTCCACGTGCCCGTGCAGCATTTGGGCACCGCTCCGAGTTTCCAACTTTCCCATGGGTCGTGTCCCAAGCTGAAATCGAGAAGCTGCAGCAGGGCAGCCCGAGCCGTGCAATTAAGTGGTGGTGGCTGGAGCTGGGTGTTCCCATTCTGGCTACACATTTTGCTTTACGAAGCATCTAAAGGTTGGCTTTTGAAGTTACCTCTCCCAGTTTCCAACACACAAAGCAAGCCACTACGTGCGGACACACTACGCACTGGGTGTAGTGAGCTGGCAAGAGCATGATGGCTCCAAGCCAGGCGTGAGCCCCAACCCCACCAGCAAGAAGCTGGTGACACCGCTCGGCTCCAGAGACCACGCAGCAGAATGGGTCTCTCAGCGGGATGTGTGGCAGTCTGCACAGCTAAAAAAAGGCAATAAATAACCCAAATGCAAGCAGAGCCTGGAGCAGTCACTGGTGGGGCAGCTCGCTCTGTTCCCAGCTTGGGAGGAGGAGCACCTTGCCACCAGCAAATGAACCCAGCCGTGGCAGGGAGAGATGTGGGGTCACTGCCATCCCTACCCTGTGCAATCCTCGCTGCTCACGCTCCAAGGATGCTCACCCTGGCATTTTGGACCAACTCAAACACTTAAAATATGGGCATGTCTGATGCCAGAGATAACCCAGGCTGTTCTCTCTGTCGGAGGAGCCACCAAATGGCACAGTGCAGCTGGCTGTGCCCCTGGGAGCAATGCCCCCCACCCAGCAGCAGATATAACACTGCTTTCTACATACCTATAACTGACCTTGGGGCTGTCCATCATGATTTATCTTGCTGATACCCCCCTGCCAGTGAAGGAAAACAGCATCCCTGCCTGGACACAGCCACCACCACTCTGGTGCCCTTGAAAGGAAAGGAGCAGCCCCAAAGAGCAGCTGCAT